TCGCTATTTTCCACCCTACCGGCAACTGTAATAGATCTGAGCATTTAAGCAATAATGAAGTGAATCGATCTGCCCAAACTCTACATTAAAGAGGACACAACACTTTATGTCCCTGCGCTAATGGACATCAATTTGGAACTTAAAAGGCAACAAATGCATCTAAACATGGGAAGGAGGGTGGTGAGCCTCTATTATTTTTCTTCCCCCCCTTTTTTTTTTTTCCTGACTGAGGAAACAGCACTTAAAGAAGTCATATATCACCAAGGGGGGAAAAATTCTCCCCAGGCAGACTTTTCATTACGTGCGAGTTTCATTAAAAATGTAGCCCTCTCCTTTCAAATATTTAAACACTTTTATATTATTTAACTCCAGATTGGGTAGCCAGCGAGAGAGGGAGCTGCGTGGGGGTGTGGGTCCGTGCGTGTGTAAAGTCATCCAGATCTGATTTAGAAAAGATATCTCCCTGTGCGTGTGGGGGAAAGACAGAGACAAATCGTTGTAGCTGAGTGTCGTTTGAAGTGGGGGAACCGAAAAATGGAATTGTGAAAAAAAAAAAAAAAAAAAAGGAGGGGGGGAATGGAGAAATACTGTATTGGGGCTTAAATACGGGGCAAACTTTTTAGCTGGGGGGGTGCTGGGAGAAAATACTTCAGCGGCGTGAAGTTTTGGTGCGTGTCAGGAGCAAGTTGGAGCCTCTCGTGTCGCCTAACTTCCCCGCTGGAAGTTTGGGCTCTAAAGTGAACCTTATTCCTGCTTCCCTCGCTCGCTCGCTCTCTCTCTCTCTGGCGGTAACAAATAAGAAAGGGGGGGAGGAGATTGATGTATTTATTTCTGTAAAAGAGTAAACTCACTATTGCAAGAGTTCATCCGCTGCATCCAGGGGTAAACCGGGGCGGAACACTTTTGCTCCTCGCTCTCTCCGAACACAGTTTTGCTCTGCGCGCAGTCCGACTTGCGCGGCTCGGGGGCGAAGGGCACCTCGTCCAGCGTGGGGGGGGCGCACGCAGGGTCCTTCTCCCTGAAAAACCCGCCGGCCCCATAGTCACAGGCGGAGCTGCGGCTGTACGCGCCGCTGGCTTTCCGGGTGGAAC